GGCACCAGCAGATGTGGTATCTGGTAAGAGCCCACTTCCTCATTGACAGCTGTCTTCTCCCTGAAACCTCACATGGCAGAAGGTGGCAAGAGAGTGCTCTGGGGTCGCTTTTTAAGGGCACTACAATAGGTCCTCGGGTTACGTTGGAGATCCGTTCCTGCGGCGCGACGTAAAGCGATTTAGTCGGAACCCACCTACATAAGCACCTACGTCACTCACATGGAGCACATATACAGTAGTAATAAATTGAAACAGTAAAAAAAATTTAAAAGATAACAATTCCTGACCTTTACTTGTGGTAAATAAATAATAAAAAACATAAAGCACATATGTACATACATCGAAATGACAGAAATTTTTTTTTATAAATATTGTAAATGGGAGATGGCAACCTAACCACAAAACAACGTATGTCGAGTCCAACATAACCCGAGGACTGCCTGTAATTCCATTCATGAGGATTCCACTCTCAAGACTTAATTTCCAAAGATCCCCTCTCCAAATACCATCTCATTTGGGATTAGGTTTTCAATTTATGAATTTTGAGGGGAGGAACACAAATATTCATCTATAGCAATATGTGTGTATCTATAAATACATGTGTGTGTGTATGTGTATATATGTATATGTGTGTGTGTATATATACATATATATATATATATATATATATATATATATATATATATATATATATATATATTACAGGCCCGGTGCACAAAAATTTGTGCACCCGGGGGATCCCTCAGGCCGGCCTGTGCCCTCTCGCAGTCTGGAACCCCTTGGGGGATGACCACCTGCTGGCTTAAGCCCACTCCCTGGGGGATTGGGCCTAAGCTGGCAGTCAGACATCCCTCTGGCAGCCCAGGAGCCCTCGGGGGATGTCCACTTGCCAGCGGGGAGCAGGCCTAAGCTGCAGTCGGACATCCTTAGCGCTGCTGAGGAGGCGGGAGAGGCTCCCACCACCACCGCTGTACTGGCAGCCATCAGCCTGGTTGTGGTTGAGCAGAGCTTCCCCTGTGGGAGCGCACTGACCACCAGGGGGCAGCTCCTGCATTGAGCATCTGCCCCCTGGTGGTCAGTGTGTGTCATAGTGACCAGTCATTCCCAGTCGTTCTGCTGTTAGGATCAATGTGCATATTACCCTTTTATTATATAGGAGTGCCTGGCCAGCCTGGGTGAGGGGCTGATGGCTGTTTGCAGGCTGGCCACAGCCCCTTCAGGGTGGGGTTCCCCCCTGGGGTGATTGGCCAGCCTGGGTGAGGGGCTGATGGCTGTTTGCAGGCTGGCCACAACCCCTTCAGGGTGGAGTTCCCCCCTGGGGTGTCTGGCCAGCCTGGGTGAGGAACTGATGGCTGTTTGCAGGCTGCCAAACCCCCCAGCGGGGACCCTCACCCCATGAGGATGTGGCCAGCCTGGGTGAGGGGCTGATGGCTGTTTGCAGGCTGGCCACAGCCCATTCAGGGTGGGGGGTCCTGCTGGGGTGCCTGGCCAGTCTGGGTGAGGGGCTGAGGGCCGTTTTCAGGCTGGCTAAGCCCCCCAGCGGGAACCCTCACCCCATGAGGGTGTGGCCAGCCTGGGTGAGGGCTGATGGCTGTTTGCAGGCTGGCCATGGCCCCCAGCCACCCAAGCTCCCAGTGGAGGCTGGCTGGAAGCAGGTATCTGGGATTTATTTGTCTTCTATAATTGAAACTTTGTTGTCATGAGCGGAGGCCACAGCCAGCTCAGGGCAGGCAGGAAGCTTGGCTTCCTCCTTCGCCTGGGCAACCAAGCCTCCTGCTTGCTCCAGCTCCGTGGCTGCCGGCCGCCATCTTGGTTGGGTTGATTTGCATATAGTCACTCTGATTGGCTGGTGGGCATGGATTGGGGCGTAACGAAGGTATGGTCAATTAGCATCTTTGTCTTTTATTAGTGTAGATAGATATATAGATAAATGTATATGTGAGTATATGTATATGTGTATGTATGTATGTATAGAAAGATAGATAATAGAGATTGACTTTAAGGAACAGGATTATGCCACACAATTGTGGGGCTGATAAGTCCAAAACATGTAGAGTAACAGGTTGGCAGAGAGGAAAATTCAGGGAAGAACTGACATGGTAGTATTGAGTCTAACATCTGTAGGCTAGAAACTAAGACAAGGTTTCTATGTTGCAGTCTTTTATTTTTTTCCTTGAAATTATTGGGGTGGCATTGGTTAATAAAATTAACCAAATGAAGTGTATAATTTTATAATACATCGTCTGTATATGGTGTGTTCACCACCCAAAATCAAGTTTCCTTCCATCACCACTTACCCCTTTACCCTCTTCTCGCACCCCCTTTTGGTAATCACCATACTGTTGTCTTTGGGGTTTTTTTTTACTTAATCCTTTCACTTTTTTTACCCAGTCCCCCAAATGCCCTCTCCCTCTAATAGCTGTCAGTTTGTTCTCTGTATCTGTACATTTCTATGTTGTTTATTAGTTTATTTTGTTCATCAGATTCCACATATAAGTGAAAAAATATGATATTTGTCTTTCTATGAGTGACTTATTTCACTTAGGATAATACTCGTCCAGATCCATCCATGTTGTTATAAATGGTAAGATTTCCTTCTTTCTTACAGCTGAGTAGTGTTCCATTATGTAAATACTAGAGTCTCTCAGCCTGGCCTGCACCCTCTTGCAATCTGGGACTGCTCGGGAGATGTCCGACTCTCAGTTTAGGCCCAATTGGCCCTGCGGGATCAGGCCTAAATGGGCAGTCGTACATCTCTCTCACAATCTGGGACTGCTGGCTCCTAACAGCTTGCTTGCCTAAGTACCAGACCGCCCCCATCCACACTGCCTGACTGCCTGACCACCCCTAACTGCTCGCATGCCTGCCTGATCAGCCCTAACTGCTCACCTGCCTCCCTGATTGCCCCTAACCACTCTGCCTGCCTGCTTGATCACCCCTAACCACTCTCCTGTCTGCCTGATCGCCCCTAACCACTCTGCCTGCCTGCCGAATTGACCCTAACTGCTCGCCTGCCTGCCTGATCACCCGTAACCGCCTCTACCTTGGCCCCCACTTGGCTTTCTTTTTTCTGGACATCTGGAATGATGTCTGGAAGGTCTTTCAGCTGTCCAGTCTAATTAGCATATTACGTTTTTATTATTATAGATACCACTGCTATTTTATCCACTCATCTACTAATCGGCACTTGGGCTGCTTCCAAACCTTGACTATCCTATCTAATAATAGACAAACATGGTAATTAACCGTACCTCCGACACACTTCCCATTGGCTAATCAGGGCGATATGCAAATTAACTACCAACCAAGATGGCGGCCGGTAGCCAGGCAGCTGAAGCGAACAGGAGGCTTGCTTGCTCCAGTGATGGAGGAAGCCAAGGTTCCCCACCTACTGCTGCTGGCCTCTGAGCTGCACTCTAAGAAACAATGTTGCAATTATAGAAGCTAAACAAACCCCAGAAACCTGCTTTCAGCCAGCCGGGCCTCAGAGCTGGAGCTGCAACAGTGTTTCAATTATAGAAGCCAAACAAACCCAGATACCTCCTTTCAGCAGCCGAGGTCTCAGAGCTGGAGCTGAGCCTCAGAGCTAAAGCCGGCTCTCAGTTCCAATGACAGCCATAGAAGGTAAATAAATCCCAGAATAAAAAAAGAAAAAGAAAAAAAGGAGAGGTTGGGAGCTTCAGTCACCCGCCAGCCTGAAAACGGCCCTCAGCCCCTCACCCAGACTGGCCAGGCACCCCAGTAGGGACCCCCACCCTGAAGGGGGTGTGACCAGCTGCAAACAGCCATCATCCCTTCATCCAGGCTGGCCAGGCACCCAAGCGGGACCCCCACCCTGTTCCAGGACATCCTTCAGGGCAAACCAGCAGGCCCCCACCCATGCACCAGGCCTCTATCCTATATAGTAAAAGGGTAATATACAAACTGACCCTAACAGCAGAAGGACTGGGAATGACTGGTCACTATGACACACACTGACCACCAGGGGGCAGACACTCAATGCAGGAGCTGCCCTCTGGTGGTCAGGGTGCTCTCACATGGGAAGAGCTCTGCTCAGCCACAAGTCAGGCTGATGGCTGCCAGTACAGCAGTGGTGGTGGGAGCCTCTCCTGCCTCCTCAGCAGCGCTAAGGATGTCCGACTGCAGTTTAGGCCTGCTCCCCGCTGGCAAGTGGACATCCCCTGAGGGCTGACGGACTGCCAGAGGGATGTCTGATTGCCATCTTAGGCCCAATCCCCCGGAGAGCGGGCCTAAGCCAGCAGGTGGTCATCCCCTGAGGGGTCCCAGACTGTGAGAGGGCACAGGCCGGGCTGAGGGCTGAGGGACCCCCCCCCCCCAGTGCACAAATTTTTGTGCACTGGGCCTCTAGTTGTAAATAATGCTGCAATGAACATAGGGGTGCATATATTCTTTTGAATAGTGTTTCGGGTTTGAAATATAACCAACTTTCCATTTTTAAGAGGAAATAATCCTTAGAGATTAAAATGCTGCTCCTTATCCTTTTCATTCGCACTATCTACTCTTTGACCATTTTACTTTCTACCAATTCATTCATCCAACCATAGGGAGAGAAAAGGGAGGTGAAAATGAACAGCTCTTTTTCCTCTTCATTAGCACTTCTGTGCTACATATAATATCTAATTCAAAAATTGGCAGCATTTTGCCACCAGTATATCTGGTATAATTTGGGTAGAATTTGCATATTCTAACACAGACCATTCTGAGACCATTTCTAGGTCAAAATTGTATAATTACCACCTTTAGGAATTTTTTTTCTCTTCCTTATCAATAATTACCTCTGATCTAAGTAAGCTACACTGAAGATAGACATAAAGAAAAAGAAACTGACCAAATTGGCATGGGAGGATTGTATCAACTGCCTGAGAAAATAACCCCCCCACAATCTTTAAAAGAGAACTGCCCCTGGAGTATGACACTAAGACTGATAATGGAGAATCTGAGACATGCATGCCAACTTAGAAATAAAGAATATAATCCTATTCTTTTATATACTTTTTTATTAAACCTACTGATTCGCCTATTAAGTCATTATATATACAAAAACAATAATATCCAGAGTTCCTAAAACATTTCCAACATATTCAACTTAGGGATCCAAGATTCTGAATATGCCATCACCAAAAAAAATTGCAAACCTAAAAAACAGAAAAGAAAAAAAATTAAACAATGTCAAAAGGAAAAGACTTTCTTAGAAAAGGTCAGTATTTACCTTTATAATTTTCAAAATGACATGTTAAAATTTATGGTTTTTTTCTCATCTTACAGTTATAAGTCTAATATTAAAATCTTGCTTAAAAAACAAGGCAGTTTACTTATAAGAAAATAAATATTAAACTATACTCATACACATCACTATTTAACACTTACTGGGTCAAAATATTTTTACCCTTACAATTTCAGGCTTTAAATTAAAGTGGCATTAGTTCTGTCTTTATCTTCTTTTAAAAGACATTCAGGTACATAAATAAAAATACTAATTTCATTCTTGTGTAACTCATACCTCTAAAAATATATTTTTAGCCAATTAACAGTGGCTAAAGACTTTGTCCTTCTATCACATTAACTTTTAGCATATTAAATAAGAAAGATAATCCTCAAAGTTCTTCCAACCTCCAAAAGGGTCAACTATTATTTTGGAGAAAAAAAATTGTTTGGATAAATAAAAAATGAGAATTTCTAAAAAATAAAAAAATTATTAATCATAAAAACATTAATATACAAAAGTGTACTATACAAAGAATTCTTCTACTACAGATGTAAAAACCATGCCATTTAGCCCTAGCTGGTTTGGCTCAGTGGATAGAGTGTTGGCCCTCAGACTGAAGGGTTCCAGGTTTGATTCTCATCAAGGGCACGTACTTCAGTTGGAGGCTCGATCCCTGGCCCTTATCGGAGAGCACATGCTGAGGCAACCAATGGATGTTTCTCTCTCTGTCTCTCCCACTCTAAAAATCAATGAAAAAATATCCTCGGGTGAGGATTAACAAAACAAACAAACAAAAAAACGTGCTATTTAAACCAACCTATTCCCCTGACCGGTTTGGCTCAGTGGCTAGAGCGTCGGCCTGTGGACTGAAGAGTCCCAGGTTTGATTCCGGTCAATGGCATGTGCCTTGGTTGCGGGCACATCCCCAGTGGGGGGTGTGCAGGAGGCAGCTGAATGATGTTTCTCTCTTATGGATGTTTCTGACTCTCTATCCCTCTCCCTTCCTCTCTGTAAAAAATCAATAAAATATATTTTTTTAAATAAATAAACCAACCTATTTAATTTTTCCATAGAAAATCAAGAATTCAGAGTTCACATTTCCAGAAGAATAAAACACATCAGGCCATAAGGTAAAACAAAGAAACAAACTACTGTACATTGTTTTTCTTTAGAACAAGGCTGAGCTGGCTTATTTAAGTGTAAATTGAAATCACAGATATAAAATCATTCTGTTCTCAAAGTAAACAGTGCTAGATTTACATGGCATGTGAATAGTCTATCATCACAGAAAGCCACATACACAAATAAAACACATTATATAAATGTTAAATCACTCAACATCTGAAAAGATACTGTTTGTAAAATGCCATTGGCAATACTGTTTGTAAGAAAATACTGTTTGTAGAGAAATAAGGTCATGTATAGAACTATAGTGACAGCTAAGTCCCTAGAAAAAAATAAGCATGACTTTAAAAATATATAGAAATGTCAGTTCCATAGAATTTGCCCTCTGTATTATCCTCTAGAACGGGTTGACAATTTCATTTTCCTAGTATCTCGTCAATTAAATGAATGCATAATTTAGGCTAAATACAAGTAAACTTGTGGTACTATTTTTGCTATTAACACTGCTACATGTAGAACAGGAAATGAAATAACATAAAGAACCATTTATTCTGTAAGAATGGGTTAGTATAAAATCTAAATTTGGGCAAAGAACCTACATATAGAATGCTATTCCCAGAAGATCTAAAGCCTACTAATTGCCTTATAAGCCTTGCTATGTCTACATATTTAACAGTACATGGTCCACTGGAATAAACTTAATAAGGACAAGTACCCCCCCCCATAAAAATGTTTTATTATAATGAAAAAAAAGTACTATTCCCTTCAACTATAAAATATATTTTGAACTAAAATACATATAATTAAAGCAAAGTTAACTGATACAACTAACATTCTTAATAGGCACTTTACATTTTAAAAAGAAAAAAAAAAACACACACACATACATAAAACATCAAAATTCTTTATGAAAAGAAGAGAAAATTGTGGCAAGAATCCTTACTTTCTAGCTGGAAAAACTTATGAAATCTAGAGTGCCGTTTAAGAGCAAACCCTACTTGTTTTTAAAGTAGGAAAATGATTTCAGTCTGCAAATTTATAATGGCTCAGGTGTTTCCATGTAATAAGTATTTTGTTGCTAAATAACTAAGTAGAGCTCACTTTTTAAAAAGTGTGTTTTAACAACTCTAAAAGATTTAATTAATCCTTTTGTTATGCATTTGAACCAGTTCAGTTAGGACTTGTCAGCATGTTAATACCTTTTGTTCACAACTTTAAAACATTTTTTTAATTTTAAAAAGGAAGGAATTGGGTAGGAGAACAGGCATGGAAAAACATGAAGGCCTCTCTTTCTCTTAGGTTTTGCCATTACCATTCTGTTTGAAGTGGTTTCAGGACGAGGCGATCGCACACACCTTCTAGTCAGAAATCAGATGGCCTCAAAACAACCTCATTGTCAGTCTTAGGCCTCATGTCTTTCGCTTAGAGCTAAAAATAAAAATACATGTGAGTGAATGAATAATCATGGAATGAAATTGCCAACATGATACTATAAAACAAAACATTAAAAGCCACTTTTATCACAGAAAGATGAAAATGTACGCATTTCTATCCAGAGCATCACAATCCTATTTAGAATGGAAGGGTGCTCTCCCCATCCCATCAGCTGCTGAGTATAATAACAATTTAATTCCAAGGTGATACTACAAAGCTAGAGTAATATTTTATTCATCTCCTGAGACTATGGAACGTTCATTTTTTTTTTTTACAGAGTTAAATATAACAATATCATTAATGAAGCTAATGACTTTAGACAGCAACTTAGCTCTTCTTTAAGCATATAAATCAAGGCAAGGAAAAAATGTGGTAGGCAGTCAGAAAGACATGAGCAGAGCAAAGATGATGCGCCAAGTACTACTGAGAAGGTCACCTGGGTGCCCAGCAAAGGGCAAAACTGGGAAAACAAGGATCTCTCCCCAAGGGTGACCTTTCCTCCCCTAGCATATGGCTGGTCATGAGGTTTAAATTCGTGACCTTTCATATCTGTCAAGCAGTCCGGACCCTCCCCTGACCTTTCCTCCCCTGGCATGTTGCTAGTCATGCAGCAGACCACTTGGAAGAGGAACAAGGGGCTAAAGACTAGCCTCACCAGACTCCCAAGTGGGCTTATAAGCATTAACCCCTAGGAATAACATCTAGGCCTCATTGTGTTTCAGCTCCAGGCTCAGAAAAGCAACAAAACCAGACAAGCGATGCCATGGCTGACATCAGGACCCTTGCCCTAGCACTGGCCAATTAGTGAAGACCACAACTCTGAAGGGACACACCTGAAAAACTGATGGCTGATGAATATTTGAAGGCACATATTCGTTCTCTCTCTCATTCATATTCATTCTCTCTCTCTCTCTCTCTCTCTCTCTCTCTCTCTCTCTCTCATCCTTTCCCTAACCTCTTCCCCAAGGTTCATTTTCCTTGCCTCTCTCCTAAACTCTTTTGCCTCTGTAATTTGTTTCTTGAGCTCATTTCTTCTGCAGCTCACTTTTTCTACCTCTGTAACTTTCTAAATAAACTTTCTCTTATAGTTTGAATCTTGGCTCTGAATTATTTCTCAGCCAGAACTCAAGTACCGAGGTTGCTAATCAAGGTCCAGTCTGACACCACCTGGTGACCTGGTGCCGTTTCACCGCTAACAGAAAGTGTAATATTGAACCAGAACAATGGTCTGACCCTGAGAAATATATTTTTGACTGTTTGGAACCCCTAGTTCCAACAGCAATGGTAGTAGTACAGGACAAACTAATTCGTTTCTAAATCGAAGTAAGGTATTCACTCATTCAACAAATATTTAATGTTTCTAAGCTCTGCAAGTCAAATGCCAAATATGAAAGATGTGTTTCTGAACCTCACAAGTGGAATGAGTCCTAGTCTCTATTTCCATATTTTGGTCTCAAGTTTGGTCTTTCATGCTAAAGAAACAGAATATAAGTTTTATTTCTATATCTCCCTGACAGGAAGAGGGTGTGACCTCCAGGCATCATTTGGTCTCTTTAGTGTGAAACTTATGTTTTCAAAATCCTGTATTAATCCTGATAATTAATTCTTCTTCATTTGGGGAGCACTGATAGTTTCAATCCCAAATATAAATCTCAGACTATTTTGTAAGGTTAAATCAGCCAAGCACCTTCAAAAAAATCACTTACTGTAAAAGTACTTAATTCAACTGAAGCCATAATTTAAAATTCAGAAAGTCTGCTGCAAGTTATACTTAAAGAACTGGCCCCTAACTATAATGAAGACAAATATTTATGAATTTTTTATACCATTCATATATATCCATTAAATAGATATATCTCTATTATCACTAGAGTCAATACCATTGATTAATGTTTTGCATTTCTCCCCTAGTGCTAAGTATACCAATTAAATTCTTTAATTTTGTGGGAATATGGTATATTACACAAAAATATATATAGGCATCTGATTCAATTTAAGCTCTGTGTTCATCTTAAATCAAAAGTAATAAATACATTTCTCAGTTAGCTTACCTTCCACAATTTTTCACGTTAAGTCCAACTAAATTTAATCTAGACAAATGTTACAAAGTGCTTTCACTGAGAAGTTTATAGGTCTTAAAGCCAGCTGTGTACTCCTAATACTACACTGAATCTTCTCAATTCTCATTAACCGATTACTCAGCTTCTGAAATGACCTCTATCCTGAGCTTGAAAGCACTAGCTGTCACTGATTTTTAACCTTCCATTTCTCTCAGTATTTTACTTAATATTTTGTACATAATAGGTGTTCAAAATTTACACATCTGACAAGTCATCCTGGCAGAAAATAGGCTGCTAAAAAGTTAATTACAACAGAACAAGAATGCAACCATATTTAATAAGATTCTCTATTAGAAGCATATTTGAAATGGCCTTAATTTATGGATTTGCCTCATTTTCTCTCTTAGTGATGAAATATTTATGAACATTCAGATCCTGGGGCTGGCCATCTTTGTGCTTATTAGCACAGTACCTAGGTGTATGGCACCACGTATTTTCACCTTATTCTGCTAAGTAGGGCAAGATATCAATTTGCTAGGTCAACATTTAAGGCCTCTGCCCATATTCCTTTAGAATTATTGATACAGACTTAGAAAGAAATGTAGTATTTGTTTATTTTAAAAAGTATACTACAATATACTTTTTAACTATACTTCAATAAAAAAGTCCAAAAAATAAAATAAAAACAAATATACATCTTCTAACATGAGCTGTAGATATTTCAGTTCTTTTATGACTACAGGATGGTCTGAGTTTTGCTCAGAATCAACCCATCATATAATTAAACTTAATTAGATATTTTCTATACAAATAAAAGTGTACTTTCGTCAATGTTGTACAAAATCCCCATATGATATGTATTCTATAACCAAGAGAAAGAACTCTATAAAATTTAAAGATACTGATTTTTTAAAAATTCTAATTTGCTTCATCCTCTATTTTTAAATGGCTTAAAGACTAGATTTTGTACATTTTGAAGTTTCATGTGTATACACATCAGAATGTTTGTGCTTTCCAGCGTCTAATTTTCTTAGCAGATTTGGATATTCTAGGCCTTTGATGTATCAGTCCTGCTAACAGAAAGAGACTGCTGTCTAAAGATGATCAGGTTTATAATTAAAACATGTCATAACTGGGTGGGCACTCTGCTCACGATGGGAACAAATATAGACTTCAGACACAAAATGTTGGGGGGGGGGGGGGAGACAGTACAAAAGAAAAAAATATATAGACTTCTAAACTGAATAACAAATAATCATTTTCAAAAAATTTTTATTATGGAAAATTTCAAATGTATACAAAACAGACTAGTCCAATGAACCCTCATGTACTCTGACTCAGTTTCAGCAACTATCAACATTCTGCCATTTTTGTTTCACTTATATCTTCACCCACTTGTCTCTCCCCAACATAATGAGGATTATTATTTTCCTTATTTTTTCCTGAGGTAAAATATACAACTAAGAACCTTTTTTTTTTACCACCTTAATCATTTTTAAAAAGTGTACAGTTCAGTGGTATTAAGTATATTACATTGTTGTGCTACAACTACCATTCAGCTCTAGAATTCCTTTCATCTTGCAAAACTGAAACTGTTACCATTAAACAATAATTGCCCATTCCCCCCTTCCCCCCATTCTACTTTCTGTGTCTATGAATTTGACTACTCTAGGTCTCTCATATAAGTGGAATCTACAATATTTGCTCTTTTGTGTCTGGTTTCTTTCCCTTTGCATAATGTCTTCCATATTTATGTTGTTTTTTAAAGCGCCCTTCCTTTTTAAGGCTGAACAATATTCATTTGTACCTATATACCACATTTTGTTTATTCACTTACCCATCAATAGACACTTAGGTTGCTTCCACCTTTTGGCTACTGTGAATAACACACTGCTAGGAGCATGGGTATACAAATACTTCTTCAAGACCTTGCTTGCTTTTTAATTCTTTTGGGTATATACCCAGAAGTGGAATTGCTGGATCATACAGTTATTCTATTTTTCATTTTCTGATGAACCAACACGCTGTTTTTCATAGTGGCTATACTAGTTTACATTCTTACCAAAAGTACACAAAGATGATAAACAATTATTTTTAAGACAAATGGCACTTGGCAAAAATTTGGAGTTTACAAAGTAATTTCACATACATTGTGTTACATAATGCTTCAAACACAATTGACTAGCTGGGAGTCCTGATCTATTGGCAAGTATTCAAGATCCTTAACAATCTATCATGAGTCTTTCCATAGTTTCAAATAAATGATTCTTTCCCATCACACTGGCTTAAGCAGACTATATCACACAATATTAGATATGTAGCTAGCTAAATGCTAAAAATATTAATAGTCTAAGACTTACAGGACCCAAATGAAAATGTAAACAAAGGAATGATATTTGTGGCTCCCAAGGGAAGACTAATCTTAAAACACTGCGAGTATCTTAACAGGTAAACTTCACAGGCACCAGCTGCTAGATAGTTAAGTAACTCATATTTGCGGTTTTCTCTCGATTCCACTGATAGGAGGTAGTCATATATGAGGGGATAGAGGGGTGGGTAAAGTAAGTGGGGTGAGCAGAAGATAGCGAGTTATGAGGCAGCACAAAAAGCCCCTAGGGCAGTGGTCGACAAACTCATCAGTCAACAGAGCCAAATATCAACAGTACAACAATTGAAATTTCTTTTGAGAGCCAAATTCTTTAAACTTAAACTATATAGGTAGGTACATTGTTATTAACTTAATTAGGGTACTCCTAAGGCTTAGGAAGAGCCACACTCAAGGGGCCAAAGAGCCGCATGTGGCTTCGAGCCGCAGTTTGCTGACGACGGCCCTAGGGAAAACTAGAAGCAAATGGAGGAGAGAAAGAAGGCAACTAATAAAAAAGCTTATTAATGGGACGGCTACATAATTTCCAGGGCCTAGTTAGTAGATA